CTGCTGAGAAGGCAAGAGTGGCTGACAATGATCTTGGGCCTCCAGCTTCCCTTCTTTCATTCCTCCTGAATGTGTGGTCTTTCCTTTTTCCTGTGGTTCAAAGGAACGTTATTTCTAGTGTTCATAAGACATGATCTTTCCTGTATGATACAGTCATATAAGTAAATGATCAGTGATACTATGCTTTTTTATCCTTGCTTGACAGATGCCAACTGACTCCAACTTGCTCTCCCACAGTAATGCAACTGCCACAAAAGTACTTCCTACTTCTAATGTTCAGATGTGCAAATGTAACAGAGATGCATTCTTTTGAGGGAAGAGAAAAGGGCAAAGAGAAATATTGATCATTGCTTGTATCCCCTAATGCAATTTAAATGCTGAAACACCAACTGTCCACAGTACAGCCAGAAACATTGGCAGCACTGCAGCTGACTCTGTACTGATGTAAATGTGTAGAAATACTTTTATAAATCACAGGCGCCGCCTTCAGGCAGTACACCATAATGTTTCCTTTTTTTTCTTTAGAGAATGTAAGAACATGCTTAATTCAACAGACATTCTATTACTTTTAAATTGATTCCTTACTTCCCCTGAAACTTGTGCAAGAGAAAGTTGGGTACAAGGCTTTGCCTTGGAAAGTCTTTCAGTATAATCATAAAATACAAGAAACAAGGACAAAAGTACTAACACAAAGTAATACACGCAATAATATTTTGCTTAAATAGAGATCCTCATACCATAGATCTTTAAGCATTTTGCAAAGTTGAGTGTTTCTGGATGCAATGGATTGTTGAAGTAACTGAAATAAATGGAGATCGAGTGACTTTGCCACAGTCAGAGTGTCTTAGGAACATAATTTGGATTTTCCAACTCAAGAGTTACTCCTATTTGGGGCTTCCACAAAAAAGGAAAGGGTTACATATACATCTATCTCCATACTGCATCATGCTCCACAGGAGGCAGAGAAGGAAAGCAGTCTCTTAAAGTTATACTGCATGGACCGGAATACTGTTGCCCTAAGCAGGGGAGTAAACGATAAACTAGACCCAGCAATCTACAGAAGGTCCATTTCTACTGTAGATGCCCTGTAGTCTTGTGTAGATGCACCCTCAGAGAAACAGGCCTCAACAGAGATTTAAAACAAACAAACAACTAAAAGGCTTCAGAAGCACCTCACAAGAAGCACCTAAATTAGTAGGCAGTTTCTGAAATTTTAGTCTTACCGTTCACTTGTTTCTCTCATAGGAGTGTTGTGAAGGTTGACTGCTATCTGTACAGCCAGTAGGTAAGAACCCCTTTAAAAATACCAATCTAGAAGGCAGCACAGTGAACTTTCATTCTGCAACTGGTGGCCTATATATTTCAAAAGTGAGGAAGTAGCACCCCCCTAGCCATCCATTGAACAGGCAGGATACAGAATTTCAGGTCTGCAAAGCTGCCTGTCTAGCACTTCTCATGGATGTATTAAATCTACCTTAGTTTTAAAGAGAAAATATTGTTTGTCAGATCTTTCAGTGTTTTTGGAAAACACAGGGATGTGTTATTCTTACTGCTCTGGTGAGTACATATATGCTATTATACACCTTGGTGTATGGGAGGTGATAAGTAAATCCAGGAGTGGCAATTACAAACTTCTAGTTTTAAACAAAATGTTTGGAAAAAAAATCTTCTATGTATTATTTACTTGTCAAATCTGAGACAAACCTTTTCCACAGCTCCAAGTACCAGAAGGTATTTTAGCCAACTGGCAGAGAAATTAATGTAATTCTTTTGTCAGGGAAGCAGGGAAAAACCTCCAAAAAGCCCAGCTTCTCTCTGCCATGGCTAATGTGTGGGGCAATCGCATTGTTTCTATTCTCTGCTTTTTTAACAGAGTTGAATGGGTCAAATACAGCACTTATCTTTAAAAGACATACAATGCACAAAAGAATCTGTCCCAATGCTAAAGCAAACATTGGGAGAACAGGTCATTCAAGCCAAATCTTGTTTCCTACTCTGGTTTCAGCAGTTGTGACATACTAGTCAAGGTCTAATTTAATTCCCAGTGAATTCAGAGACCCCTTCAATTGACCTGAACACAAGTTGCATTAGGCTGTCCTTATTTTATTTATAAATAAAGTCCTCTCCATCTAGGACTGATAGTTACCACTGACATCAAAAAAATCACCCTCTTCCCACAAGGAGATTGGTTCAAACAGAAAGGACTGATAGACAGGGGAAATAGTGGCCAGGAAAGGCAAAAACAGGATGGCATCCAAGCATGACCATTATAAAAACTACTTAAAAGAAAAAAGATCTGGTATTTTTTGGAGATGAGAGGTAAGAGGGAGACCTATAGCAGACTTCACCTGAAAGAATTTAACCCTCTAATATTCAATGTAACAAGATACAAATGTACTAAGGCAATATTCTGCAATAATGAATGATTTATAAATTCAGAAACCTGTCAGGAAGAAGCTAAATTAACACTTATATATACACACATGCTATACTCCTAGTGTAAGACTTTAATAGGCTTGTTCTTAGTGCCCTATTTACAATTCATATTCAAGATTTATTTAGAAATATAAGGTTTGATATATGGTTTCAGATCATTATTCCTACTGGTTGGATTCCAGTTGGTCTGTTGTTCTATTTTCTAGTTTCCTTTGAAGAATCTGGTAACTTCCCAGGCCTCGTTTCCCAACTGTGAACACTGCATATGCAATGGCAGGAGGAAGGCGGGTGTTCCTGTTGCATATGACAAGCTGTCATTAAGCATGCTACCAAATAACACTTTCTTGCCTATTTCTCAATTGGTGGTTACATTTTTGCGCACACAGAAATTCTTTCAACATGTGCAATGAATAACTGTGACATCATTGGCATTTGGTGTTGCATACATATAACTATTTGCCTTGGTTCCCATAGTCACTCTTGTTTTCTTTTAACATAATCAATTTAATGTTATGTTTTACTAATTAATTTCTTAATGGACATTACACCCATTTCATAAAATTGAAAACTTCCTGAATTTAAATCCTGTGACTGATTCCAGAACAATTATATTTATGTTTCACACAGAACACTGAGGGAAAGTGTAATTAATTATCCCCTATTTTATACCTAAGAAACTGCAACATGAAGAGCTGAAGTGACTTGCCCAGTCTTGTTACACAAGAGGTGAACATCAGAGCCAAAACCTCGTGAATGTTGGCAATGAAACTGTCTCCCCACTGCTTAAACCCTTAGGTTCTGATCTTATTTCAAATGAGTTCATTGACAGTGCCAACAAAGAGGTAATTAGTTCAGCATGTAGTTTCACAAAAAAAAAGCTTCCATCATAATTGTCACTAGGACCACAACATGGGTCACTTGAAGGCCAACTGACTGACTACATGATCACTACAGAATCCGGAGAGAGGAACATCTCTGCAATTACAACCCACTGTAGTATCTAGTCTTCCAAAAAACCCATTCATGTTGTTCCCTAAACAACTATATGCAAAATATAGGTAACTATAGGCAAAATCAATTTCATTGTAAACAGAAGAGTTCCATCATCCAGTTTTATTTAACATCCATCTTCATCCCATCTTGCTTACACACTTACAAAACATCATCCTTGAAACAAAATCTAGCCTGCCAAACAATCAAAAATACCCAGTGCATTTCTCATGATATCAGACAACCACTACTTGGTTAGGAACATAAACATAATTCTAAAGGCAGCAGTATACAATTAAATATACATTTCAGTACTTTATTCTCAATGACCCTCGTTGCTTTTATGGAGTAGCTCTTCCAACAGGACAAAATGAATCACTTTAAGAAGCGTCTGGCATAAAATGCAGAGACAATATCCCTGTAAGGAGTGTCAGAACAGGATTTGGTCTTTGGTATGCGGCACAGTTGACGAAAGGTAGGAGAGAGCAGCAACAGGTTGTGCAAGAGTCCCATGAAGCTGGAGGACAACCAATACAAAGCCACAGACTGTAACGAGACAGAATAACATATTCAACAACCCAAAGTGCAATAAAAGCACTGAAATTCCAACAACACTTCAAACTACAACTATTGATTATTCTTTTTTAGAACAACCCTTCTAAATATACCTTATATTTAACAGCTACGGCTTCCATTCCAAACACACTTTTCAGTTTAAAAACTCTTCTGTAAAAAGGTGATGATTTATGAGACCGAGCATTAAGGTTCAATAAGGACAAATGCAAAGTCCTGCACTTAGAATGGAACAATCCTATGTGCCACTACAAGCTGGGGACCAACTGGCTAAGTAGCAGCTCTGCAGAGAAGGACCTGGGGGTTATAGTGGCCAAAAAGCTAAATGTGAGCCAACAGTGTGCTCTTGTGAAGAAGGCCAACAGCATACTGGGCTACATTAGTAAAAGTGTTGCCAGCAGATCAAGGGAAGTGATTCTTCCCCTCTATTCAGCACTGGTGAGGCCACATCTGGAATATTCTGTCCAGTTTTGTCCCTTCCCCCCGCCCCCCAGTATAGAAAACATAATAGACAAATTGGAGAGAGAAAGGTGAACTAAAATGGTTAGGGGGCTGGGGGACATGACTTACGAGGAGAGGCCAAGGGAACTATTCTTAGAGGTGGCTGATCACAGAACAAGGAGCAACGGTATCAAGTTGCAGCAAAGGAAGTTTAGGTTAGATATTAGGAAACACTTTCTCACTAGAAGGGTAGTAGTAAAGCACTGGAACAGGTTACCCAGGGAGGCTGTGGAATCTCCATCCTTGGAGGTTTTTAAGACCCAGCTAGACAAAGCCTTGGCTGGGATGATCTAGTTGGGGATGGTCCTGCTCTGAGCAGAGGATTGAACTAGATGACTTCCTGAGGTCCCTTCCAACCCTAATTTTCTGATTCCATGATAAAAAAAAATTGAAGTGCACTTTCTCTCTGGATCTCCTATTCTGTCTTTTCTAGGTCTGTCTTGTGGATTGTGAGCTGCTTGGCATAAGTTACTGGTTATTTTATCTCTTACAAGTACTGACCACTTCCTAAGTGTGTAACAATAAATAACTTGTGATGAGCTTAAGACATCACATGACATGTATTAGAAGAAAATAAATACCAGCATTTCTATATATAATATATTAGGCTACAGATCCTACATGCAATATTCCTCGAACACAGTTCAATATAGAACATGCATTTGTATTGCACGTTGAACACCATGAACCATCAAGTGTGGTCAGCAGTCAGAAGCTGGTGCAGAGTCCCTGGTGCAATGCACTAGGGTCGCCGAATCTCTGATTCAAATCAGAGGACCCTTTAATCTCTCCGAATCGAATCAGAACCCTCTGTGGGACGCTCCCAGCGCCCCAGCATTGCAGTGATCACGAGCCGTGCTGGTACCTCAAGGTATGTAGAAAAAACTTTTAAAGCTGTGTCTGCGTCTGAAGCACTGGTTCTCTGAATCAGCATCAAATATTCAGATTCAGATTTGGCTCAATCGAATCAGGGGCAGTGGTTCAAATCAATGAATTGAATCACTGTCCCCGATTCGGGCTGAATCCGAATTGGAATAGAATAGGGCCTGCTTTGCACACCCCTACAATACACATCATTATGGTTCTGTACTTACTGAAGGGACTGTAGCAGCAATAGGGATCATTACTACACACATCCCTCGACCCAAGATGGTAGCCAACTTCTGGAACCTGGATAGCTCATGGTTTCTAAAAGAAAAGATCTGAGGAAACAGATGGGAAGAAAGATTTTTTTTTTTAATATTGAAAACTAGATTGATTTATCAATGTTAAATGTTTTTCAACCAAGTATTCTGTTCACAAATATTATTTTCAATCACTGGGGTGTTCTAATCAAGTACATTTAAAACATTAATAAATTATTCCCTCTAATCTGTTTGGTTTCTTACAGACACTACTCAGTATTTTTCTAGCAAACTTTGTATCAGTCATCCTTCTAAAACATCTGAAGAGAGTATGACTTCACAGAATAATAGTTTTTGACCATTAAGTGAGCTTCTAACATCTGGTCTTCAAGAACAGTTCTCTGAGAAGACTGTTAAGAGGCACAGCTAATCATCCTCAAACAGTTTGATAAATAACTGAAAGAAAACAGAACAAGGTGAATAGTCAAACCTTGACTATCATTCTTCAAGAAATTTGTAATCCAAATTACTTGGGAAAATATAAAATAGAGCATGAATGAAATCTAGGTGGATGATGGAAATGAGAAAGACCTGTGAGAGATGCTCAGTAGATTAAAAAGTAACAAGAATGCGTGGAATTTTGAAAGAACATGAAGTCAGGCCTCCTCTCTATACAGTTTGTATTTTCCAATTCATGTGTTTACATTTTTTGGAAGAAAATTAAGAAATGATCAACAAGAATGTGTGATGAAGTTCATTTAAAAGTATGAAATATCCTTCTCTCTCCTTGATTATTATTTTATTTTCTTCTTAATTTGCTCCCTTCACAAAAAATAATATATATTTTGACTTAATTGAAAATGCCAGGAAAGAGACCATGGACTTTTGCATATAATTCATTAATATACATGAAATTAAGGTGTATGTGTAATTAATTATTAAAAAACCCCACAAAATACAAGGAGCAAAGTAGGTTCTTCGTTTTTTTAAAAATATCCTTTCATACGTATGTTCTAAAATTCTATGTACACTGCAATTCTTTTACTAGGTTTAGCTGCAAAATACAAATAAAAGACTGATCTCTTTACAATCTGTTTTTAGTGGGGCTGTAACCTCTCTTATGACACCAAGTACTCGCAAAGCTGGGACTGTACTTTTTTCAGACCCCTGCCAGATGTGCAGGATCAGCTTCAGGGCTCCCAGCCATAGGGCCACATGGTGTGCCCCCATGGTTGGGAGCCTGGATTGGCTGACAGGGCCCCCAGTTGCAGGACCTTGTTACCTGCGGGTGCAGGGGGAGCCTGAAATCGTGATCCTGGGCACTCCGTGCATGGACAATAAGGTGTGATAGAATTTGATGTGCATATGCATGGCAGGAGGCATGGTTGTGGGATCAAGCATCAGATCCCATCACACCTTAATGCCTGTGCAGGGAGAGCAAAGGATTGTGATCCTGCCCGTCCACTCCCCCCCGCCAGCACCAGCAAGCGGCAAACTCCTGCAGTTGGGAGCCCTATCAGCTGACCCAGCTCCCAGCCATGGGGGCACACCATGTGCCCTAGAGGCTGAGAGCCTATAGCTGATAGGGCTCCCAGCCTTGGGCTCACCATGCAGTCCTACAGCTGGGAGCCCAGCAGCTAATTTGGGCTCTTAACCACAAGGGTGCACCATGTGGCCCTGCAGTTGGGAGCCCTACTGCTGGTGTGGGCTCCCAACCCTGGGGGCACATGGTGGGATCAGCTGCAGGGCTACGAGCCACAGAGGCACATGGCGAGCCCCTGCAGCAGGGAGCCCAGATTAGCGCATGGTGCTCCCAGCCACAGGAGCACATGGTGAGCCCCATTAGCTATGAGCTCCTAGCCCCTGGTGCGCATGGTGCACCACTATAGCTGGGAGCCCAGTCAGCTGACAGGGCTCTCAGCCTCAGGGGTGCACCTGGCCACACACTGAATTATTGGTGTCAGAGGAACCAGCCTCAAAGTTAGCACACATTTTCTGTGGAATAATTTTGTGGCTTACTCCTTGTTTTATGATGCCATTAATTGTTTTAACGTGTGACCAGGTTATAACTTAAAGATGTGACTAACTGGTTAGTCACGACTTAAGTGGCAAGGGCCTTAGATGCAGAAGCAAACTCTTTCTTGCTACATAAGAAATTTCAGCCACTTAAAGATTGTGGACCATATTTGCATAAATGTGGAAAGTATATGACACTTGCTTACTTGGAAAATGGATTCAGACAGTAAATGCTGAGATGCACTGACAAAGAAACAAAAGAACCCCTACATCATCTCCTCATCTAATTTCACAATCCCTCTGCTTTCATACTTTAACAACATGCCCACTTTTTTTCCTATTTTTTAAACTTATAACTTTAATTTACTTTTTATCAAAGCTTGCTGCTCCTTTAAAACAGGAGTACCCAATCTCTGTCCCTGCAGAGGCATGACATCCAGCCTGCTGGTCTCACAGGTTGGAAACTTGACAACAGGGAGCTGTGGAAGCTTCATGCAGCCAGATCTAGCACTGCCTGGGCCACTGCCTATGCAGCAGGATAAGGGGCGGGCTGCCAACATGTCAAGATTGGGCCAAGCCATTTCTCCCCATCCACAGGTCTGGATCAGGGCTGCTTCTCCCCACTCCCTTCTCCCCCACAAATCCAGATTGGAGCTGCTCTGTCCTGCTCCCAGCATACAGATCAAGGCTGGGCAATCCCCCATCAGCCAGATCCACCCTGCAGAGGGAGCTGGTACCACCCATCCTGCACACAGGGCAAAAAGTTTGGGCACCACTGTTTTAGAATCACAATTATTATATATGTAGCCATCATTTGTGATGCATTAAAAGTAGTGTTCTACAGGTCTACTAAGGAAAAGCAAGCCAAAAATAAATACAGCCCCCAGGACTGTTACTTATGCACCAAAATTTAACCTAAGTTGTAGCCTTGTAATACAGTAATAAATGGGAGTAGGCTAATTAAAGTATTCTCACAGGAGATGCTCTCGAGTGAAGATTAAACTTCAGTAAGGTTAACCTACTAAAAAGCAGTGTCCAAAATGACATACCAGAGTTTATCAGCATTTGCTCCACACAGCCAGTATTCACACCCCTGAAATATACAGAACAATTACAGTTTTTCCCTTCTACACTATCAGTTTATAATTCAAAATGGCCATAGTATATCCATATTTTATAAAGACAGCCCTGAATGATTCCTAATCATGCAGAAAAGAACATACTTTTACACCTGTCCAACCTTTATCATCAACATACCTCCACTATTAACAAATTGAGGAGCCCAAGCGCAACTGGCAAAATCCATGTAGAATCTGGTACAGTGAGGTCTGTAAAACACAGAATTCCACCCGAACAAAACTGTTCCTGAACTGTGAAGTCAATTAAAAAAAAACTTATACGCATACACACACACACACACACACACGTGTACATCCATCAACGCATCACTGTCACCATAACATCAGTTTAAATTGGGCAGAATTCTACTTTTAAATTGGCTCTACAAAGTGAACATTTTTTGTATTATTTGTGACAATACATTCTGTTGGTAACAACTGGTAACTAACAATCCTTCCCATCTTTCCGTTAGAAGTAGAAGAGGGAATACCTATATGAGATTTATGCATTTCAAGAAAAGGTCCTTCTTGTGATGAGTAACAGTATGAACTTACAGGCAAGCCATATATTAATAATTGTATGTATTTCTGGACATTTGAAACTTGTACCCATCTATAAACAGACTGAAAAAATGACCTACATATAATCCACTAAATGCCATAAAGGAACTATACAATTCAAAGAACTTCAAAAGGTGAATTTAAAAATTAACCCATTCTTATAATGTATTTATTGCAAATATACTCTGAAAAAGTAACTTACTACTTTCACCTTGTTTACATACTGAATACTGTTAAAGCAAAGCATTTAAAGAGACTTTTAAACTAAATCACTGCACTTATAGGCAGTCTGCCAACTCAATGACATAAGGAAATATAAAAGTAAGAGCTAACAGGCTGACCAGGATTGAAACAGGTAAATAATAAAAAGTAACTTGCTCTGAATCCATTTTTTTCATTAACCAAGTACATTTTGTAATAGTAGAAAACTAACTTTCTTAAAAATGAATATGCTAACACATTACTAGACTAAGCATTATATTACTGAGCTCTATAATATTTAGCTTTTAAAGTCTAAAGTGCCAAAAAGGGCATAAATATTTTAAAGCTATGTCCACTTAAGCATAAAAAGGGGTAACATTAAAAACACCACGTGCATGAATTAATACAGGAACCAGCACTGACCATGTATCTCTTACATTATGAATATCATGGGACTTAATCAATATAGGAATATTGATCTGTTTTCTGTAGATCTGTTTTTAGTCCGATATCGGAATGGCATCAATATAAAGAAAATTTACTAGATTGGAAATTGGCCACATCAGGCTGATAATTTGGCCGATAAATGGCCCATGCACGCATGCAGCTACTCAGTGCAGCACAGACAGCGAGAAGCACAGCCCAGCAGTGTGGAGAGCTGCCTCCAGCTGGTAAGTCTGGTGTGGTGGACAGGGAGGGAAGAGGCGGGCGGGGGGGGGCAGATCAAGGCCCCCCTTGGGGAGGAAGGCATGGGGCTGGGGCAAGTGCTGCCCAACCGGGGCAAGGTGGGTGTGGCATGGAGCTGTGGCTCATCCAGGGGGCACGGGGGAGAAGGGCAGCTCCTGCTGCTGTGCACCACTTGGCCAGGAGCCACTTGTCTGACGCTTGCCTGCTTGTGCAGTGGGTCCTGCGACTGCTCCCACTGGTCATCTAAGAGGGCACTAGGGGGTGTGTGCCCCCGGATCTGCGCTGGGAGGGCTGGGGCTGCGCTGGGAAGGGGCTACGGTGAATTTGTGGCTGCAGCCTTCCCCGGCCCCCAAAGCCCCTTTCCAGAGCAGCCTTGCCCCACCAGGAAGAGCTTGGTGCAGCCCTGGCTCCAGCCCGCCCTGTGCAGATCCGGGGACACACACTCCCCTGTGTCCTTCCAGACGAGTGTTTGGAGCAGCGGTGGCAGCCGCCCATGTGCAGGAGAGCACTGGAACAGCGGCTTCCGGCTGCACGGCATGAGCTGTCCCCCTGCCCACACGCCCTGGGCACAACTCAAATCAACAACTCGAATTTTTAAAGAAACAGACAATATTAGTAAAAACAGTAACCAGAAAAAGCTATCTAGCAAACCAGATTTTTGTTTGCAGTACAAATGTTCAGAATGATCACCTTCAGAGTCTACAGCACCTACACTGTAGTTGCGCAAAGCAATGGACACGCAGAACCACACGGGAATCTGAACCCACATTAGCAAACTGACTTTGAAGGGATGGCAGTTGTCTCGAACATATAATTCTGAAATAATTCTTCGTAGGTTTTTCTTGAAATGGAACCTGATTGGAAAAAACAAAACTCCTTGCACTAAATGATAAAAAATATTATTTCAGAATGAGTAAAAGTAATTCTAAGGGCTGCACATCTCACTTTTCTCACTGTCTCTGCCTTCCATTCCCTGTATGCCAATCCCTCCCCCATTTACCTTTTATTGTAATTTGTTTCGCTTAACTTTCCAAGACAATTTCCCATGATATTGTCTCCTAGCAATATTAGATTTGATATTTTAATCTCAGTGTTGTCTGTGCCCAAATTATACTGCAAGCACCTCAGCATAGAGACTACCATTCAGATCCGCAGCATTTGTTCTGTCTAATTTACTATATGTACTTGAATCCAAGATGAGTCCTGCCCACCCCGGGTCAATGGGGGGGGGGGGGGGGGGGGGGGATGAGGAGCCTCGTCTTGGATTCAAGTACCAGCTGCTTCAGCTCCCATCTCAGTCTGGTTCCAGAACTGGAGCTGCTGGGGCTGCTGCTTGGAGCCAGCAGCAATTTGGTGAGTGCAGGTCAGGGGCCAAAGCTAGGGTGGCAGCCTGGGTTGAGGATGGGTTGCAGTGCAAGTTGGGGATCTGGCAGGGAATAGGGTAGTAATGTGTTGCAAAGTAAAAGTGTAAAATCCCAATAGGAAACTCTACACAGTTTCAGTACACTGTTGCATTTTACTCATTGATTATATGTACCAGCAGGAAAAAAGTACATAGGCATAGATTATGGCTGCAATTTTCATTTCAATAACCAGATGATTCTACAAAACAAGATCCTAATGAGGAATTAAAAATGCATATAGTTCAATCTTTTTGGGGGTTGATTCTAATATGTGGCTGATTCTAATACCCAGGGGCACTATACTTTTAATGTTAGCAGTTAACACGGAAACATTAAAAAAAAAAAAAAAAAGCCAGAATGTGATGAAAAAGCCACTGATTCTTTCTGCACAATTTGTCATTAGCCTTACATATTTGTTAACTTGCTTTTACTTTCACTTGCAATGAATGCATAAATTACTATTATAAACATGATCTTACCTGGAAACCTTTTCAGACCAACCCTGTTGCTTTCCAAAAACTGCAACTTCATAGCGAAGATGCTTTGCTAGGTTTTCTATTTCAGGCCGCAAATTTTCCAACTAGCTAAACAAAATGAAAAATTGATTATATAGAAAAATAAAACACCAAATCAGCACCCAGTCTGGAATCTCTACAGATATTTGCCAACTATTAAAAACTACATACTGCAAACAACCCAGCTTATCAGCTTATTCCTATTCCCGAGGAATTTGTGGGAGAGCACGGAGCATTTCCAACCAACACAATCAATCAGCTGCCTTACTATTCAATAGGAAGCCTAAATTTGTTCTTTTTTGCTTGTACAATACAACCTCATAAATCTGGATATCAAAAATCCAGAATTATGGAAAATCCAGCACTTTTTAAATCCGTACTCCATTGGGGAGTAGCGGCAGCCAGTCCCGGAGCAGCAGAGAGAGAAGCTTGCCCAAAGTGCTGGCTCCTCTGTCCTCCCCTACCCCCACCAGGAAATGAACCTGCCTTCAGGGCAGCCCGACACCTGTAGGGCCAGGGATGGGCTCAAAACCTCTCCATAGGGTCTCTCATGCAACACCCCCCCAAATAAAGACGCGCACCTGGCTTTTGAAAGACAGAATGAAGGAGAGGGGAGGAGGAGGAAAGAAACTTTTTTCCTAGGAGATACTGGGAACTAATAGCAAGTAACCAAGCAGCAACCCTGCTGCAGTTGCTGTCTCTGCCCCCTGCAGAGGCCAAGCCCGCTCCCACCGCCCGCTGCCGCCGGGGGAGCCTTCCAGGCGGCACTGGGAGGCTCGCACCCACCTTGGCCACGACGACGCCCTGGTGCGCGGCCAACGGCAGCGTGAGCGCGGTGCGCAGCGCGACGCTGGCACAGACGATGCTGCCCCACCAGGGCAGCCCCGTGGCAGCAT